CTTCCCGCTCCGGGTAAGCGGCACACTTCATCCGTCCTTCACCCGCGTGGAGCTCACACCTACCGGAAACAACACACACGACGCATGCAATCCAGGCAGAAATCCTGCTACGACCAAACCTACGGGGAGAAGGGAATGTCACGGGGACGGGACGGCGGTGCTACTCCTCGACGGGAGGTCACGGAGCGCGGGGGACACGGGCACCCTCGGATTCAAGAAGGGGCGGACAGACTACACACGGTTACCTGCAGCGGGGCACGGCGAGTCACCCGGACGCTTCCACGCCCCCACCCTCCCCGGGTTAAAATTTGCCCGTTCCTCTGTGATTTACCCGCCGGGACGAGCGCGCACGGAGCCGGGAAGAAGCGTGCCGCAGCGCCGAGCTCCGGCAGGTGAGCCAAGGGGAAGAGGCGCCGTGTAAAAGGGGTTTATGTGCCAGGTTTTTGTCAGCCAGGGCTCCGCCTCGTGGGTCCAACCCAGGGCCTCGCTCAGAAAAGAAACTTTCCGCCTCAAACGACGGGTTGTTTTCACACCATCGACGATGGACGGCGACCGGCCCTCACAGCAGCAACAAATCCCAACCTGAAATCCCACCTCCCCGCCGGCTCCCCAAGGAGCACCCTCCGGGGCGGGAAGAGCTACACCTCGACTGTGCTTCCTAGGGCGAGAGGCTGTAGTCGCTCCAATAACAGTGTTAATACAACGGGAAGGAAATATCCTCCCGGGAATCCGTAAAGCTTCCCGCCGACTCGGGGCTTGCAGAGAGGGGCTGCTGGGACGCGTTGCCTTTGGGAAAAGAAGGATCACACTTAGAAACCCGAGAGAAGAAGGAACAGCGGCGCAAAGAGCCCCGCGGCACCGCGGAGGAGCGAGACGTCGGTTCTAGCGCAGCCAGGAAGCGCGGGCCACGAAAATCCTAACGCGAGCAGCTGGAAAAGCTGACGGCAGCACACGGAGAGGAGCAGAGAACAGGCAGCAGCACCCCAAAAAGCCTGCACTCCCCGCCCAGCCCTGGGAAAAGCAAGCAGCCGGGGAGCGTTACGCGAGGCCGGTTATCCGTTTCTTCCTTTCCACATCCGAATTCCAGTTTCACGCCGCTTCGGAAAGAAGGAGAAAGCAACACGCGTCACTTAACCCCCTCCCAGCCCCGACCCCAGCAAAGAAAGAACCAACCCAGCGGAACACTTGAGAAGGTGGGAGACCAGGTTTGGAAAAATGCATCCGTTCTGGCTTGTGCGAGTGGAATGTGATTCGTGTTCACAGCTACACACAGAGAGCACAACCCCTACAGCCGGAGCGGCCCGCCGGAGCAAAGGGCGGGGCGGCGCGCCTTTTTTTTTGACAACCACAGAGCAACGAGACACGGGAGGGGCACAGAGTGACAGTCCTGTTCTCGGTGTACACGAGGAATGGTTTAAAAGTAAAACTCTTCCGCAGCTAATTTCCTCCTGCAATAAAACCAAGCGAGCCGGCCCTCGCGCGCGGGCGGCCGGTTAACCTTTAGCCTTCCCCCTCAAAACACTAGGAACGCACATCCGGTAACACTCTACAATGGAAAGTGCTTTAAGAAAGAAGGATTCTGTAGTGCCAGTGACGGAACTGATCTGATGGGCTGGGTGACGCTGCCACCGCCGCCGCGGGCTGCTCAGGCCAGGGCGGCTCGCTTCTCCTCGGGGGTCTCCTCCAGCAGCTGCATGATCAGTTCGTGGAGGGGTTTGCAGATCTTGGCGTAGCCCCCTCCCGTCAGGTGCAGGAAATCGAACATGTCGTGGTACGAGATGGTGCCGTCGGAGTGCACGAAGCCGGCGTCCACGTCCAGAAGCTGGACGTTGGGCAGTTTGGGGAGCGAGGTTTTTAGCAGATGGTTCACCTTGGCGTTCTTCTGCCGCAGCGGGTTTGGCTTCTCTCCACGAGGTAGCAGGCCCTGGCGCGAGAAGGAGGCAAGAAAGAGCTCCGTATGGCTGCGGGGGCACCACGGCTCTCGCTTTCCCTTCCGCCTCAGGCTGCCTCTCCACATCTAAGACATCTCTGACGAGGGGAACTCGGCCCTTCAACCACTCTTTGTCCCCTCGGACCCGATTTGAAACGCAAGGGAAGGGGCCAGACGAGCTCCAGGCACAACTGGCGCAGCGCCTGCTTCCCTCGCTTCGCTTTTTCCCCCTTTAACACCCTGGTTTGTGCTCTTCCCACAGGCTTCCGGCAGCGCCCCGAGCGCCACCGCTCAGCTCCTCAGCAGGAGAGGCACCGGTTGCTCTGCCAAGACAAGGAAGGCAACCGGGACTCCCCGCCCGGCCCTGACCTGCGCGCCGCCTCTCCCCCTCACCAGACGCCATTCCCAAAGGGGACAGCAATGCCGCCAGCGGGAAGGAGCACACCCGCCTCCGGCTGGGGCCCGAGATTCACGTGGCAAAGCCGCAGAGGCACGGCGCAGAGAAGAGGGGGCTCCCCCAGCACGGGTCGTTTCCACAGCGCTGCGGGCGACATACCAGTACAATCACTTTGGCCTGTGGCTGCTGGGTGTTTATCAGGCGCACGATAGCCTCGATGCCACCCGCGACTTCCTCTGCTGTGTTTTCGTGATTATTGGTTCCGACCCAAACAACGATGACCTGCAAGGAGAAACAGGGTTTGCAGGTCGACATGCGTGCTTCGCCCGACAGCCCCGTATAAACGTCACCCGCGGCCCGCGAGGCACGTGAAGAGTCAGGCCCGAGGGCAAAGCCAGACTGCAAGAGATCTTCAGCCGTCGCTTGCGCCCGTGTCTGCACAGCACCTCGCTTCAGGCGGCCTCGCCGCCCATCCTGAACGTCTCTGCTGACCCTCTATCATTTCACCATCCCTTCCCAGAGGCCAAGAGCGCACCTCCAGCCCGTGAGCCCCCCCAGCAACTCCCCACGACACGTAGCTGCGGGAGCTCGCCGGCCCCATCAACGCCAGGACTAGCAGGCTGACCCTGTGTCCTGGTGACACACCCTGCTTGGCGTACTCGGCGGTGTAAACCAGGTGTATGAGGAGCGCAGCTCTGTTCCCAGGCACTCTGGTTCGGCCCGACGAGCTGCAATGCCCAGCATGCCCTCAGTGCCAAGGGCTGCTCCAAGGAAAAGCCCTGCTAAGGCTAACGGCTCGCCCTGGTCTGCGCCACGCCAGTGCCGATGCCGCTCGACGTCAGCACGGGGCTGCCTGCTTTGGTTTTCTGCTTGTACCTTCGGTTTAATGTTCTCCAGTTCACCATTCTTCAGCCTCCATAGGACGTGGCCTGTGGTGTCTCCGCCAATCCCAAAATTCAATGCATGAAGCGGGGAGAAGAGCTCTCGCCAGATCTGCAATCAGAAATCGATTTGCTGGTTCAGAGCAGCATCCCGACCGTGAAAGAACGATGCTACACAGGCAAGCCTTGTCTCCGAGGACACTGAAGGTAGCTTCCTCTGAAAACCCGCTGTCGAACAGGGCATCTGAACACAGGATGAGGCTTTTCTGGGGGATCCGGAAGAGACGGAGTGGCTGACATCCAGCACTCAGTCCTGGCACCGGGAAAGTGCTCTCCAGCGGCTACTTGCCCAACTTGTCACAGACACCGAGAGTGCTGGGTGTGCTGCAGAGCACTGTGCCCCGGGGTTCCCTAAGCACGGGCCTCCGAAGGTCTCTATCACCTGAAGGAACTCTTTTCCTCACCAGGAAACAAACCCGGAAAAAGACGGATTACCCCGGGAAGCAGCTCTTGCGGAACAGAGCTGCCGCTACCCCCAACGGCGGGGGGGGGCCCCGCCCCCACGGAGGGTTTGAGAGAAATTGCCGGTGGCAGCCCAAGCTCCAGAGGGTTAAAGGCATCCTGGCCACGCAGGATACACCTACAGAGGTTTAGACAGCGTGCCCTCGGGGCTTGGCTTCGGAGATTCGAGGAGCAGCAAGGGACTCTGCAGTCACTTCAGCGGAAGACTGCAAGCGGCCCACAGAGAGAACCGGCACGGCTCCCTGCAATCACTGGGAAGTTAAGGATAAGGAAGCAGGGTGGAAAAAACGTGGAGGAAAATCACGGTGGAACAGAAGAAACGGGCTGTGTTGCACGTGATCATCAGTTACGGGGTGAGAGGAGGAAACAGGCTGATTCCTACAACCCCCCCGCCCTCCCTTCTTTAACGATACCTCGTACTGCTGCAGCAACTGCACCATGGAGTCACCCACGAAGAGCACGTCGGGCTCCTTGTCCTTGCAGTCCAGGACAAATCTGTTGTGCTGTTAAAAGAAAGCAGCAAGGTAAGCTCCAACCCACAGATCCTCCCCGGTATCTCTGCGGCAGCACAGAGAGGGACAGTTGCCCAACCAGTTTCCCCTGCTGCCACACCGTGCCATTCTCCGCTTAACCCGTGAACCGCTGGACACTCCTCCCCACCAAACAGACCCCAGACACGGCCTCGCTCTCCCTAAGAGTGGCATCTGCACGCTACGTGCACACAAGCCACGGGGCTGTCAGACTCCCAGTATCCTCAGGAATTACAGAAAAGAGGAATTCACGGTTGGTCACAGCTAAAACCTCAGGATGGGAACTGCGGCCAGACGGGGCCCGCGCAGCCCCACCACTGGCTCCCAGGATTCAACCCCAAACGACAACCGCCCCTCCCAGCCTTACCTGTGACATCCACCTGTCATCTCCCTGGATATCTTCGGCGGCGTGTGGAACCGCGGCTGGGTTTGACTCTCCCTGGCTCATTCTGTTCCTGCGGAAAGAGCACTTCAGATGAGCTGATCTCAGCGGCTCTCGCTGCGTGCTAGCGCGGGGGGAAAGGGCTGGCTGGCTCGATACCCACTGCGCTTCCTGACATTCACAACGGACAATTCACGCCTACTCCTACGCGCGTCGACTTCTGGCCGACAACTGCATAGGTTTTCTTCCACGCACGACTGCCAGATCGGCTCTGCTGACAGCCCTCCTGAAGCCGTTTTCCAACTGAACGTTTAGACACGTGAATACCATGTTAGAGCAAACAAAGAGAAGCTCATTCCAGGGGGATGCTCTGCAGAAGCACAGCTCACCTCCGCAAGGCTTTCATAACATAATAATACGTGCTGATAGTCTGAGGATTAGCCCCTATTAGTATCAAGATATCCAGCTTACGACTACTGAGCTCCGCAGTTCAGGTGGATTATCTGGCTTCAGGGGACAGTGCATCACAGCGGTATTGATCCCGAAGGATCTAAATCGGGTTAGGCATCAGACAGAGGCCTAATGCTCCCAGCGACGGCCCTGCGCAAGAGCCGAGCCCAACCCTGCCTCAAGGCCAGCGCAAGCAGCCGCCCGGGGCACCAGTGACATCGGGGTGAGGGCAGCCGGCGGTGGGCTGAAGCCGGCCTCCTCCTTGGCCGAAGCTGCGGTGCAGATCGGGGAGGGCTGTGACAACCGGCCCCCACCCCGCCCGCGGGCTGCAGCACCTGCACCCAGGGCGCAATCA